AAGATCAATGGAAACTGCTATTTTTCTATTATTTTCTCATATAAATAGCTGCGGGATTCCTGATATTAATAGGGATCCTACACCTATATACCTAAAGTTTCTCTTTTAGGAAAAACACAGAAAAGCTGCCGGGTCCCTGATATTTTTATTAAAAAATTCATTAGAAATGACTAATTTGTATTAGTTTCATATAGAAATAGCTGCGGGGTCCTTCCATATATCATAGGGACCCTACACCTGTATAGCTAAACTTTCTCTTTGACGCAAAATACAAGAAAGCTCCAGGGTTCTGACCTGCGGGGCCCCTATGAGTTACATAGGAAATTACCATAAATCATATTATTTTATATATTTTCTCGGCAAATAGCTGCGGGATCCTGACATATTCGATAGGAACCCTAGAGATAGATACCTAAACTTTCTCTTTAAGAAAAAACACAAAAAAGCTCCGGGATCCCGACCTGTGGAGTCCCTTATACTTTTATGACAGCTACGGCTTAAATCATACTGTAATAGGTATTTCTGTTATTAAATAGCTGAGAAATCCTGACCTGCGGGATGCCTAATAATTATATACGGAATTTATCATAAATTATAGTATAATACATATTTCCTAGAGACAACCGCTGTAGGGTCCTTATATTGATAGGCATACTACATCTATATAGCTAAAGTTTCTTATTAAACACAAATATAAATAAGCTCCGTGGTCCTTAATCTATGTCGATGACAAATTTTGAATAATCGAAGACTTTGCCCTTAAATAGAAGGGACAGCCGGTCGCGGAGGGCGGCCGTAGGCCGTCAGAAGCGCACAGAAAGCGTGATACCTCGCCGATTAAAATGATTTTCTGTTATTGTTAAATGTTTTTCATCTTGCCTATAAGATTTTCAGCGTTATCGTATGGTTTTCACCTATATCTCTACTTTATTCATTACCCTCACCTCATCATCAAAACTACATTTTTGTCATCAGGTGCGGCGATCTATTGAAGCTAGATGCGAATTATTAATAATCATACACTTGTGAATGAATATACCCATCAATATCATCTAGTTACAAAATACAAAATTCGTGTCATCTTTTCAAAAGAGAAATTAGTGATATATCTATCAGATGTAATGAAATTCTTCTATTAATTTTCTATCATCTTCTATCGATATTCTTTTCGAAACAAAATGGTTGTTGAGCATATTTACAATCTACAATTGTACCTAATGCACTTTGTCAATGAATTGTTCAGATAATACAAATAATGACGATATCCTTTTGAAATATACCTTACTTATTTATTCATCAATGATATCCTTCCCCGGGAGACACTCTATGAAATTTACTTCAGATCACTTTTATTATATTTTCTATGCGATATCCTAGTGTCCTGGCTCTTAGTATAATCATTGACGTATGTTGGTCAGAAATCCATTGAAATCGATATCTGAATTATGGCGACGACACTGCACGCATCCTATTTGTCCAGTATTACTTTTACTATCTATTTTATGCAATGTTCAGGTGTCCTCGTCTCTTACCATATATATTATCACTAAATGTTTGATATGAAATCTCGAAAAATTGATGATTTATTTCGAGTGTGCAAGCGACAGCAGCAGTAGTTGCCGGTAGCGGAGGGCGGTCGAAGGCCGTCCGTAGCGCACAGGAAGCATCATAATCCCGCAGGTCCAACTGATTGGCACCTATCGCTAAATGTTTTTCACTTAACCCTCACATTTCCTCCGCTCTCATTATGATAACTTTAATGTTTCATCATCAATTGTTTAATACCATTTAATACGCACATCGATTCATTTTTAACAAATCCTAGACGATAAATATTACTACAAAATACATAGAATATCATAACATTCTCTCTTTCATACGTTCTACTGACACTTTGATGTAATTATTATATTGATCATCCAATAATGTCTACAATTCTTATTACTATAATATCGATCTTAACATACATATGTATATGTAGCATACGAATATGATAATACTCGTTGATATTTTCAATCTCCAATCTTCTGTCTATAGAGTCTTCTTTTAGATTTTAACATTTTTTACGTTTCTGTCTTTTATTCTTCAAATTCTTCGAAAGCATCGAATTTTTCTTCTAGAAACATTGTAAACTAACCTGATTATTGAGTATTTAAGCAAGATCCGAAATACGACGTGTGATTCTCTGAATCTTTATCACACAATTCTTATTTATTTAATCTATTCTTTCTTTTTCTCTCTTATATTTCCTTCTCCTCTCTCTCTCTCTTTCTCTTTTATACTTTCTGTTTCTCTCTTGTATTTCCTGTTTCTCTCTTTATCTCTCTTATATTTACAGTTTCTCTGTACTTCTCTGTATTTCTCTCTTATACTTCCTATTTCTTTTTCTTTCTCTCTTATATTCCATATTTCTCTCCTTTTCTCTCTTATACTTCTTTTTTCTCTCTACTTCTCTCTATATCTGTCTTATATTTCCTGTTTCTTTCTCTTTCTCTTCATTTCTCTCTTATATTTCCTGTTTCTCTCTCTTTTTCTCCCTATTTCTCTCTCTCTCTCTTTCTCATACTCCCTGCTTCTCTCTATTTCTCTCTCTCACTCTCTCTCTCTTATACCTTCTGTTTCTCTCTTTCTTATTCTTTCTCATTCTCTTACTCTTCATTTCTTACTATGGCTCTCTGTCTTTGTTTGTTGTCTATTTTCTCTCCCTCACCTATCCTCTCTATCCTCCATATTGTCACTGTCTTTCTCCTTTATCATCTATCACACCATATTCTACTCTTGAGAGAGCATGCATTAAGTACAAACTATCCTATGAGGATGCATGCACGTACACACGCACGCATATGAACTTCCAAAAACAACAATAATGTATTCGACAAAAAACCTACGTACTAGTTCTCTTCCTGGTTTCATCAAATCTCAGTCACTGTACGAATTACATACGGCGCGTATGTCTTCATCAATATTATTTCGCGACATATGTATGATTTTCCATCGTTGATTCATCGTCGTATTTGATCATAGTTTTTTTTCTAGAAAAAAATTGCAATTTTCTATCATTTCCAAATTATCTACTAATAGGCATATTCAAAAGTGCTGTTATTGTTGTTCTTGTTGTTATTTTGTCCTATTCTTCCATTTTAATATAATATGTACTCAATGACATTTACTTCATAACTCATCATGTGTATCTATTAGATAGACGAGTGATACATGGATATCCTTATTGAATTCTACCTTATTATCTATGCAACAATGATACCACACACTCCCACCACCGAAACCACACTACGTAATCTACTTAATATTACTTGAACTAAATTTTTCATCCAGTATCCTGCTGTCTTAACTGATATAGATCAGATATTCATAAAGTTTCATCTGCGAATATAATGCATTCATCTGAAAATCAATACGATTCAAACACATTTCGTATGATTTCATCATGCATCTTCTTCCACAATTTATCACCTTAAATATCTTGTCTAACAACAATACAAACATACATGGTGCATTCATCTACATTACAAAATTTATATCGTACCTATAGTCAAATTGCGATTTTCTCATCTTCAACAAAGCTCTATGATACACTATAATAACATGTACATTACAGTTCATTAGGTACATTTTTGCCTGTCTCTTCGCATATATTCTATTGCAATGAAACACAATATTTATTACAAATTTTTTCATATTTTTCATCACTCCTTCATTCATATTTGTCAAGGAACAGAGAAAGAGAGTTTTGATCTATATGGTTTCATGTAATAATGTGAAATTCTAAACATGCCTCATATGTGAGAGTTCCTTCAACAAGGACGATAACATGTCGTGTGATGCTTTGAATTTCTTGTCTCTATATATCTTGTCTACGTATTGATTCAATTTATTTTGAATCTCCTCCTCCTCCTGTACGAATATCACTTGTGCCACTTGATAAGATTCAAGCAACATCGAAATACTTGGTATTGTGGTAGCTTGTCTCGCCCTCTTTTGGTGATTCTGCTATTATTTCAATAGTAGATATGATATTACGTATTGATTCAATTCATTTTGGATCTCCTATATGAATATCTCCTGTGCCACTTGATAAGATTCAACCAATATCGAAATACCTGGTATTGTGGTAGCTATACTCGCCCTCACACCCTCATAAGACATCAATGATTATTGTCAGAATACAAAACAGAAGGAAGAACACTCTACTTACAATATTGTACTAATACTTTCTCATCTGTGTCCCAGTATCATGATCTCCACTCATGTATATTGATGCGAAATCCATAGAAAAACGAAGATTTTTCATGGAAATACAAAGTATCACTCATAGGACACTGTACATCAGAATGTTAATATTATTTTTATGTTTTTCGTTTGATTTGGGTTTACTTAATTTAAATTAGTAACTCATTTTATAAGACTCTTGAGCACAGTCGAAACCGGTCATGACAGCTTGTCTCACTACTGCCAAAATTATTTACCATTATAAATTTTGGTTTTCTACTGAATTTGTAACAGAGTATACCTTGTCTCGACTTGATTCTTCATTGAATCAATTTAGAGATTAAGCCATCTGATGAGTCTTCGTAGCGGAAGACGAAACTGGTCATGGCATCTTATCTTACTCTCTCACCATCGAGCACCTTACGCAAGGACGAAACGATCGTCGTGTGATGCTTTGAATCTATCAATGCAAAAGTTTTCTTCTTTGAATATCAAAAAATCATTCTAATAAACTTTATGTTCATTAAATAAGACTTATTACGAATTAGTATACATTCTTAACTACTTCATCATATGAAGAGAGTTATGATCTGTATAATATTATCTATTTATGTATTCTAAACATACCTGATGAGTTCCTTAAGCAAGGATGAAATGCATCGCAGTTTGCTGTACTCATCCTCACTCTCAAGAGAGCAAACAGTCGTCAAGTTTATTTCACGGTATTATTCATACAAATCAAATTTTTGAGGAGTTTTCAGTTTCTTTTTATTCTAATTCGTAGCTGTTTGATGATAATTATCACTTTTCATCAGATGATCAACAATAACAATCAGGCAATGTTCAAGTAAGTTTTCCGTTTCTAACGCCGGACTATCTTGAGGATCCCACTTATGATTCAATTGATCTCGATAACTTTGTGCAGCAATGACAAACATTGGTAACTCATGTAACTTACTCCCATCACCATTACGAATCGACTTCAGCTCTGCTAGTGCATTTTCTTTCAAAGTTGCTTTTGTTTGAGAAATGACTTCTTCATACTCATCTTTGGTCAACTGACGACCAAGCTGACGTATATTAATTTTTTTGTTACTTGAAACATCTTGATCACCTTTGTTTATCACCAGTACGATTGGTATTTTATATTTTAGGGCTTGTTGACAGATTGTGAGGTCAAATTGAGTAAAACGACCAGCTCGAAGAAGCAGTATGCAATCGAATGCATATAGTCCTATTTCTTCGAAATAGTTTACATCAGGGTTTGATATTGTACCAGCTGCTGGTAAATCCCATAAAGTGACATATCGTTCACGATTCTGAATCCACCATCGATATGCCATACTTTTTCTTGTTGTTTCCGTGATCCCAACTGGTGCTGATCCATCTTCGTTATGTACGAAATCATTCGTCATCTTAACATCTGAAACACCACGAATACAATTAATAAATGTTGATTTTCCTGTTGTAAAAAGGTAAAAATTAGATGATCATTATTATTTAGTAGAGCATACTTACCGGTGCCACTATTTCCACAGACAGCGATATTAACTGTATTTTCAGTATCTAGTCTCAATTGTGCTCTTATACGTTGAATCTTTTGTTCTGTATTTAAGTATTGCGACCAAAACTGATGTGGAACAGGCCGTTCGATTATGACCACGTCATCCAATCCTGAAACAGGTTTTCGAGCTGACGGATTAAGTGCCATTCGTTGTTTTCTCTCTTCAAAATATTTGTTCAATCCCCAACAAGCAGCAGCAAAACCTATACCCCCAATAATATAAATTTCTACAGCCATTATTATCAAAACAATTCGTAGCTTTAATAATGTTGTGACAACAACGTTGATATTGTGCGTTCTCTCGAGTGCACAATTCTCATAAATTCAGACATTTATACGCAGGTTATTTGCTTAAAATAGGCAAACAAAGATATCTTTATCGTTCTTTTCTGTTCTGCAAACAAGCAGCAGCGTTTCAAAAAGCTTCTCTTCCTCCCGAAGCTACGGTGTGGATGGTGATAAAATGTTTTGAAAGACATTTACATACAAAAGACTATCATTTATAACAAGAAAGATATCAGAAAAAAAACATACAGATTGATAAGATATAGGAGTTTTTTCATAGACATTCACATATCAAAAACACTATTACTTGTGATAATGAAAAGCGACACATAAGTAGAGTGAGATTAGAGATGTACATGATGGTCCCGATCCCGGCGGGACTGGAACTGGGACCGGGACCGAGACTAAAGTTTTTTGTTCAACCGGGACCGGGACCAAAAAACATTGGTCCCGCTCATGTCTAGGTGAGATACTCACGTCACTTTTTCTACAGTAAAGTTGAGTCCAACCGAAACTACTTATAATCCTTTTTTTGCAAAGCTTCTGATTTCAGAAATTTTTTCGTTACTCTCTCTCTCTCTCTCTCTCTCTCTCATGGCTTTCTTAATACCACTAGCAGCAACTCCTTGGGGCGCAGCAATAATTGGTGGTACGGTCACATTTGCAGCTACGAAAATAATTGGATACTTCACTAAGCCGCCACCAAGTCCTCCACCACCACCAAGCCCGGAAATCACACAACAAGAATTAATCAAAAGTGCTCGAGAAAAATTAGGCATGGAAGTGGAAAAGCAGTATAATTTTGCTGTTTGTGGTTGTAGTGGAACAGGTCTGTTTCTTATCATTTTAATATTCATATTTTCACACTAATGATGATAATTGTTCTATTCATAAAGGCAAATCAACATTTATTAATTCTGTTCGTGGCATTCAAGATATTGCATATAATAGTGGGTTCGTATATGCTATTGATGGACCAGCTCCTACTGGTATCAGTGAAACAACACAAGCACCTGCACGTTATCGTTGGCCAAACAATGTATTTCCTTATCTTACCATATGGGACCTTCCTGGTGGGAACACACAAACTCATCCTGCCGAAACGTATTTCGAAGATAAAGTTTTATATGCATTCGATTGTCTACTGCTATTAAAATATGGCCGTTTCACGCAACTGGATATTGATATTTATCGGAAAGCTGTCAAATGTAACATACCGATCGCCATTGTCATGACGAAAGGTGACGTTGATATCGATAACGAAGCAAAGCTTAGATTCAGTAGACCATTTCGAAAATTATCAAAAAATGAATGCAAGATATTAATTGAAGAAACGACTCGAAAACTAAAATGCGATGCCACGAATGAACTCGTAAAAGCTGGATGTCCTGAACCTCCCGATAATAGTATGTTTGTCGTGGCCGCTCAAAGTTATCGCGATCAACTACTCGCTCTTTTAGAAGAGAATGATTTTCCACCATTAGAAACAGAAAAGCTTTTCGAAGCATGCTCTAATATTGCTGTATACCGGCGAAGTTCTCAATAATTCCTACAGATGATTGACGATATCAAAGACTTTGACAATGATATGCCTGCTTTTTTTGTTTGATCGAGTCACTATATAAGAAGATATTTGAAGCAGTTTGTCATACGACAAATTGAGAACAATTTTTATGATTTTTCTTTCATTAACTGATGATTGAATGAACGAACGAACGAACGAATGAACTGTCACAAAAGTGGTTATCAGAGATTCCGATATGGGATTGAAGGCGATCAGTTCGCATTCACTGTCAAGTATTTCTCATTTCCGTTTTTCGAATTCATCTGCATTTCTTGCTACTAACATCTGAGAGTTTCAATATTAGACACAATTTTCAAAACTGTCTCTGATACAACAGCAAAGATATTGACATTTCAGCTTCATGTTTCATTACACATGAAAAAATGTCTAAAGTTATCTCAAAAGTCTCTTGAGCAAATTCCAAGTTCGTTGTATGAAGTGTTTGAAGTCATATTTCTTTTCACTTATTCTCATCCTCACGCTCACCTCTCAAGATATTACGAATTTTATATAGTTTCTAACTACTTCATATATTTGATAAGTTTTAATTCTATATAATATTATGTAAAATAATGAAATTCTAAACATACCTGATGATTGTCAGCCTAAGCAACTGTCGAAACGCGTCGTGTGATGCTTTGAATCTATCCACACACATAAATCCTTCTATGTTCTTTACTTTCTATTAAGATTGTAAAGTTCTGTATAGATTCTTATGGTTCGTTTATGATTCATTTAGAATTATTCGAACAGCCATAGCAGAGTCAAAGCCAATTGAGGAGCTGATCTTTTCGGGGATCACGAAATCCTTTGGATCTTGGCATACCGAGACTCACCCTCTAAGGTGAATAGACTTCTACTTTCGAGTAGATTTCTTATTCGTGCTTCGTGTTAGATTAGTTCTTCATTGAATTGATCTTTATATGCGAGTACATGCCACTTGATAATCTTTTATCTGCAAAAGTGAAATACTTTTAGTATTGTGGTAGCTTGTCTCACCCTCGTGTGAATTCTACTATTTATTTACGATAGTAGATATAATATTACGTATTGATTCGAAATATTTCATTTTGGATCTCTTATACTAGTACTTGTGCCACTTGATAAGATTCAAGCAACATCGAAATACCTGGTGTTGTGGTAGCTATATTCACCCTTTTCTATTTTCTCTATAATTGAGCGAGAGCGAAACCGGTCGTAAATATTTTGCTTGAAATTCGACGTGCGCAAAATCACTCTCAAGACTATACAAGTCAGTTTATTTTGAACTGATTGAACACCATCTAAAATATGGTCTGTGATCATGGACAACTAATTTTATTCATTTTATTGGAACTCTTATTAAATTTATTCTCAATCATACTCTTTTTGGTGTACTCAAAAAGTGAGTACACCTCTAGAATCGGTCAGTGTGTCCGGCCGTCCGTTAACACGATAATTTTCGAAAGGAGAGTCAGATCGTGATAAAATTTTCTACACAGTTTAGTCTCATTAATATCTCGACCGAGTTCCAAGATGAGTCTGATTGAATGAGCTCTTCCTGAGTTATTGCAAAAATACTGATTTTTTCCTATGGTTTTTCTATGGGAAGATCGATATATCGCCGTTCTCGTAAGAAACTTTTCTATCAGAGTCGAATAAAACTCCATTTGTTATATACCATTCGATAGAGAATTTTACGGGCTACAAAATGGTACATAATATATAAAGAAATAAGAAGACTAAGTTACCTATATGGCAAACATAATTATGCAGGTAGTGGCTCCAATGTTGTCAACGGTCTCGTTGACCCACAATTAGGGCTCTATCTTCTGATCACAGATATGTTACTTCAAGGTTTTCTGGATCGGAGAACTCGAATCTGTACTGCATTTGCCTCGAAACCTTATTGATTGAGCAGTAACCAATAAAAATCAAGTTATGAGAAAAATGGTTGTCTTAGGGTAAATGAAGGTAGAAAGTTCAAATATGAGCTGTATTCGATCCCAAATCCTTTCGGATGAGCAACAGTCAACAGAAATCGTGCTCATAATAAAGATTTCTCATGATAATTTTGGTGTCCACACATTCTAGAATGACTCATCTGTCTCATACACTTTTTGTAGTACACATAACTTTCGGATGAAATCCGAAGTTTCCGCTTTTATTTTAATTTACGATGAAAACAATATTGAAACTATTCTATCTAATGATGTTTCTCATATAGTTCAATTTTTCTTGTGCTAATTTAACTTCTTCAGCCTTGTTTGCGCTTGATGATTGTAAACGTTCCAATTCGTTATCGGCTGCTCTTGTTTGTTCATTGATCTCATCAATTCGGCTTTTACTGAGTAGTGAGAGAGCATCAGCCCCAAGCCCAACACCTAAGTTTACGTATGGGATTCAGCACGTAGCTATGGGACCCCTTATACAGCTCTTTATACGACCATCATACCAAGCACGATCATTCAATAATCTAGTTCTTTTAGATTTCATTTCTTGGCATCTATTTTCAAACGCACTCAGCGCATCGACAGACTCTTTGGTAATATTTTCATAATATTGTATGCGTTCGCTCCAGGTTTTCCGTTTGCTAGAATCAATTTCAGTTGATCGACTGATACATTATAACATTGCATCAGTTACACGACGTATGGCACCAGAATCCTTGGGTATGAATAGAAAATTAACAAATTGATACTTTAATTCTGTTTCAATCAAACCACGAGCTTCATTTAAAATATCTTCCTGGCTTCTTGGCATCCCTCTCTTAAAGTTTCATTAGATGGTACCTTGTTGATAAATATGGCAGTAGAACCATCACCGAAGCCATTAACACATTCTCGTAGCACATTCAGACTGTTTTTAAGGCCGGTACTCATTCGATCATGCGAACATACGATAATCATCATATTGACAGTTTTGGTTCTCATGTATTCAATGATTTCGTCCATCATCGTACTAGATTGACCGCTCGAGTCACCCATACCTGGAGTATCGACCACAGTTAGCTTGAGCGTGACGTTACTACCATCAAGCGTGACATTTCGTGTTTGTTCGCAGGGTTTCTGTGTATAAGACACTGCTGAAGATGAGACGCGAAAGACTTTTTCGTTTAATAGTGCATTTTCTATTCGACTTTTGCCAGCACCTGTCGGACCAATCAAAACAACACGCTTCGCATCCGTCATAGCAGCCATAGAACGGGTTCACACAATGAAACGTTGCGGCAATAATGGAAAATATAAACCAATAAAGATCTAGAATAATATAATATTCCATTGATACCGGCCATTTTCAATGAAATGCTTAAGTTATATTCTGACTTATGAATTGAAATTTTACAGATCATAAAATGGAAACATTAAAAGCATCTAAGTCACCCATTCAGTCGAAAAATATAGTCGAAAAATTTATGTGTCGAAGGTGACCCAAATCTTGAAACTAAGCATTGAGTATCTTAGCCTAGCGCCGCTACGACCGCTGAGCTATCTAAACATACATCTTCAACATTAATTCTTCGATGAATCGTTTCTCTTATCAATTGTATGTTAATGATCACATTAAACGTGAGACAACATTCGCTTTTTCCTAGATACACACGTACTAGGACGTTAACATATCTAGAAACTGAATCTATATTTGTCTTTCATAGATACATAAATTTCAGGATTTTCTGATAAGAAGGAATATTTACAAGAACATAAAATCAAAAGATTAAGTGCATCTAACTAGCAGTGTCGTATTAGTATTAGTATCAATAAATTGCTAATACTTTCGTGTTAGGGTTAAAAAACAAAATTTAATAGTTTGGTGTTAGGTTTAGAAAGTTAACTTAAGGCTTTCGAATTAGTATTAAATTAACATTAAGAATAATGCTAACGCTTTCGTTGTCCAAAACAGAACAAAATTGTTCCACTTTGAGAATTCGTTTCCCAATAACAGAAAAAAACTGTTTTGCTTTGCGAATCCATTTTCCAATAACAGAAGAAGATTGTTCTATTTTAGGAAACAAAATTGTTAGCATTATTCTAATGCTAATTTAGTACAAATGCCAAAGAATCAAATTAAGTTTTTAATCCTAAAACCAAAGTATTAAATTATTTTGTTAACTCTGAGACAAAAATATTAATAAAAGTATTATTTAACGCAATGCTCATGCTAACCCCGACACCCCTACATCTAACTCATTGAGCTTCTAAAGAGAAGGTTTCATAGCCGTGACGAATTTCTGTTTATCAATATGAATGATAAATGTATATGTCTACACAGGTAAAATATGGACCTCTAATGCACTACGAGGTAGGTATTGTCAGTGATTATCACAGTCATTTGCCCTCACAGTCAGTAAAGAGAATAATCTAACGAAGATCCTATGTTCGATAGTGTGCCTTGATGATTTGATGAGGGAACCACGATTCAACTGATAAATCGCTTTGAAGTTGAGACTCTGTGCATAAGATGGACCCTAGTGAGGTATGAAAAATCTGAAAAGGATAAGTGCAGTGCTCATAGACTTTTCTTGAAGAGTTATAGCCATTTTACTAGGATTTTAGTCTATACGCCAGTATACACCAAAAATTCGAATGATATCATTTCGAGCTGAAACTTTGCTCATAGATAGACTTACTTATAGCTAGAATATCCTGCAAGTTACAGCACAAAATACTACTTCCTTCGTCATGAAATATTAAGTTCCCAAATCACAGAAGACTTTGACACTTGTATAGAACACATGAGCAATTTTTAGAGCTCCAATATCTCATGAGGAAGGAAGTAGTATTTTGCGCTGCAACTTGCAGGATATTCTAGCTATAAGTAAGTCTATCTATGAGCAAAGTTTTAGCTCGAAATGATATCATTCGAATTTTTGGTGTATACTGGCATATAGACTAAAATCCTAGTAAAATGGCTATAACTCTCCAAGTCTATGGGCACTATACTTATCCTTTTCAGGTTTTTTATACCTCACTAGGGTCTATCTTATGCACAGAGTTTCAACT